GAAGTAACGAACGGACGGAGGAGGAGGAGGAGGGAGGGGAGGCGGGGGACGGGGGGCGCGAGGAAAGACGACGGAATAGAACGTGACGGAACTCAGAATCCCTAGCCGCTTTCTATTTATCTATATACACGTGTTCTGAGCTCGTTACCACTGATAACCCAACGAATAATTATCGTGCAATACAGAGGGATCGTTGTAATGAGGTTGGATTTAGTCGTACGTCTTGGTCGTTGTTCTTCCCCACTCGAAACTTTGTCGTTTCCATTAAATCGTGACGCGACATGGGATAGAGTAATTAGTGCGCGAGTGAAATATTTAATTTAATAAAAAATTTTTTTTAATGTTTTAAGTTAATTGTAGAAGAGAAATTTAAGGACGAAAAAAACTTTTCTTTTTTTATGCACCGCTCCGCCGTTTTCTTAAAATGTCGTGAAATATTTGAAAATTCTGATAATCCTATCCATGTTATCCATGTTATCCCCTTCGTTAGAGCGGAAGAACTTTTTAAATCGACCAGTAACAGTAAGGAAAATATTCAAGCCTGTCGAGTAAACTTCGTCGTTCATTGATTCCTTATAGTACTAGATCACGCGCGTAACACGTTGTTGCGTCATTTCCACCGCGACATTTCATTCAACTTGGAGTCTTTCGTACGAAGGTCAAGCGAAGTCGTGACTATCGCCTCGGCACGAGCACTCTCTCCTCATTCTTTTTCCGTTCCAAGCTACGTCTCTCCCTCTTCCTCGCCTTTCTTTCTCGACGAATAACGCGTGTGTACGCTGCTTCCTCCTCCCTCCCGGGCGAGCAACCGGTTGCCCGTCTAATTTGCTTCTCTTTTCAACGTACAGATCTTTTTTGCCTCCACGTTTTCGTGAACTCTGTTCCTCTTACATCGTAATACACAGCTTGTTGTTGTTTCCGGGCGATTTTAGATGAAGATGCTAAATTTATACCGACAAATATATTACAAAAACATGTTACTGCACTTTACTGAGAAAAATATGTATCGCGACAATGTTTTTTACACAGATAAAGACGGGCGTGTCAGATCGAGTTAATGATATTATATTTTCATTTATTAGCGCGACGTCCGAAGCATGGGTAGCTTCCTGGGAGCAAACGGCGTTACCGAGGGCGTCAATATGTTTATGGCGATGTCGAAGTTGTTGAAGCAAGAATTGGCCTCCGATGCCGAGGAAGAAAGCCTGGTGCCAGCCCTTTCTGGCAGAGTCACCTCGATACAGAAAGTACCTTCCCTATCGGACCTATCGGATCCGGAAAGCTCTTTAGGTAAGTTTTTCCAATGCATATCTCTTTTTAATCATTTTCAAGAAATGTAATTTTTGAAAAATATCAGTTGAATATAAACGCGACTAGAGAAGAAAGAAAGAAAGAACACCTAACAATGCAATGAATATTTTACCATTTTTACTTGCATTAATAAAAACGTTAATTAATTAAATTAAACAAAACAAATTTAATTAATTTGCTAGATATCTGAAAATTAAAAAAAATGTGAATTGAGCTTGTAGATTATGTATCATCACATGTATATACTTGTACATACATTTTTATTAAAAATTGGAGAATTTATACACTATTATACGAATATATTCATGAAAGAAGAAAATCAAATTGTTTATAAATATTTCTGGATTTTTTTTTCAAAAAAATTGCTCTTAATGAATGAATTGATTTAAAGATATTTAACAGTTATCGGTAAAATATTTTTTCAAATTTTTGCAGTAGTTTGACGTTTGTAATTCTCAATTAATTATTGCATGTTTTATCGTCTTGCTAATCTAGTACACGCCGATGGCGTGAGAATATTTTACGAGACCGTTTGCCCAGACAGCGTAATAATCATTCAGTTTAATATTCCCATTAAACGGCCGTTCGCGGGCGTGGAATAATTTCGTCAAGTTTAAAAGCTATTTGTCACCTAAAAGAAAACGTACTATTACGTATCATAGACATGCTCTCTATTCCTTGATTAAATATCGCACGACTAAGTTGCCATTCAAATTATTGCGACAAATTCCTCGTGTTCGTCTATTTATTTATTTATTTATTTTGTATAAAGATATCGACGCGATTCTCGGAAATAGATGATAGAAGGGACAAAGTGATAATGCGAAGAATAGTGAAATCAGCTCTTTCGACGCCTCTTGAAACACGATCGAGTACGATTCCCGATATAATGTTGTGTCGGATCCCGACACTTAAAGGTACACTTACATCCGATGACGCTTGCATAATACGAGCACTAGCTGCACGAGCCTAGCAGCACTCACACGTACGTGATTTGTTCAATTAGATCGCGCGAGAATTGTATCGTGCCTCTTGCACAATACCAAACAAGCCAGTCGGATATTTACCGTAATTCGAATATGAAAAATGCCTCTTTCTAGACAACGTTGTTTTTCTCGTTTTCCTCGTTATGTGTTTTCATCCGTCGACTTGACACACTTTTCTTCTCTAACAACTATAACTAGGAAGATAAATAATGACAGATTTTCTTGTATGTACGCTACGTCGTATAGAAAATTGCATTGAAATACACAAATGAACAGAAATAAGCAGGAAAATAAACGATAATATTTTTACAAAAAAAAAGAAAAAGGAACAGTGTTATGCTTGAAATTCTTTTTCATCCTGTTTCCTCGTCGTTTTAACATCTCCGAGTAACGTTCGAGTACTTTTAATTCGACATAATGGGGCAGAAAAGTGGATTCCGTCACGCTGAAAATCGGGATTTTCTAGGACGAGGCGTGCAGTGTCGAAGTGGCAATGCGAGTCATCCTTGTTACTCGCGGCTCGTCGTGCGCGATCAAAATGTAGCGAGAATTTACAAATTGGATAATCAGCAGCATCCTCATTAAAGCCCCCCCACTGAACGCCCCCGCCTTCCATTCTCTTTCGGAACGCGTGTGTGAGGCTACGCGTACGCGTCGGCCGCGTCGTCGCATCGCCCCCACCCATTTATCCGTTCTTATCCAACTTCGTGGAGCATTTTTTTTTTTTTTTTTTTTAGTCGATCTGGGCTTTTTTTCTAACGGCAAACTTTAAACGTAATTGGCCCGCGTGGAATCATTTTTATAAATATTTAGATTTAGTATCCGAGAGGCAGACAGATAATAAACCTTGCTCTCTCAACAGCTGCACAAGAATGATACCAGTTGATCTTTTATGCATATCTACCAGTGTAATGAATCGATTAAATTAAAAAAAAAACTTGTGGGAGGAAAGAGAAACTAAATATTTACAACGAAGAGAGCGGAAGGATTTGAATAATTTACACATATTTCATAGTCAGATTGTTAGAATTTGTTAGAATTTTTCAATGTTCTTTATGTTTTTTTAAGAGTTTAAAAAATGTCAGCTCTGTAGTCATAAAACAAACAAAAGAAACATTGAAAATTTTCTGTCGCAGTATTAAAATGTCTCGTTTAATATCACATTTAAATATGATTTCTCTCTTTTTTGCTGGAATAAAAATATGACAAGATAGCTTGAACTTTCCAAATAATTTTTCGATTAATTCTCGTTAAAATAATCTTATTAATATTAATCATATCAATCTTATTAATTTTATTTATATTGCCACCTGGTGTAATTTAAATACAAATCAAATATAAACATAAACCTATCTTTAAAGACATCTTTAGATCTTTATATATTGCATCTTGTAAAATTTATCACATGAGAAGTGCGATAAAAATTTTACCTTCATCCTTTTTTTTTCTATTTATTGAGTATTCTAAATGGAAATTGATGCTATTTAAGATTACTACACGGTATTTAGAAACCTACCTATAAATTGGAAATATATCCCACGCAATTAGCAATTAAAACATAAGCAGATATCGTAGATATAAGCGTGGGATTTGAATCGGATAGTATGCCGTAATAACGATCGTGTAATAACGCAACTTAAGCGCGTAAATCGCGTGCAATTAACCGGCCGATTTATCGCGTGTCATTTAACTTTTGGATGGTGAATGAATCATCCGCGATTTCATTTATTAGCGTGGCAATATCACACGCAAATAATATCGAACGGCTGAAATCGCACGAAATGAATTCGTCGCGCTACTCGTCGGTCAATAATCAATATTTGATCCGTGTATCTCACGTTTACTTAATTCGCCTAATTTTAGATTGCCGTGCACCTGGCGTGCCAGTACGAGATCGCGTGTTATGTCGCGAGTGGTTAACGACTTCAAATATTTCGTCCAATAGGCAATTAACTCGCGATGTAACATCTCGTTCTTGACACGCATTTAGAATAAATAGAGCGAGTCTCTATAAAATGTATTTGTCTCTAAAAGATATCTAAAATTCTTTTACAACTGAACAATTAGCGGAGCAATATAACACCCACGCACACGCACACACACACACACACACACACACACACACACACACACACACATCACATATTAATGTTAAAGAATTACTTTTGAAAATTTCAAGTTATTACAACTATATATGGAATAATTGTGATAACAGGTGGCTGTGGGAGATGAAGTTGATTTAATTTTACATCAAAGTAAAGATAATCCTGGATTTCTAATTGTACATAGATTTGTAGTATTATCATTGGAACCTATAATTGATGATATAAAAGTTAAATTATCCATTGATAAAAACTTATTAATTGAAAATTACAAGGATTATCAAATATAATCGATATAATTCGTTTTCCTAGCATCTTGATAATAAAATAATGTATTGTATATAATTAAAATTATATTTAATAATTATATATAATTGTATTTTGCAGTTTAATTTATTTTTGACTAGTCAGTAAGCTGTCTATATACATATATAAATATTTTATTTTAATATATCTATATATTGTTTATAGACAGAATTTATTTAGTGATAAGAAAATACAACACAGTTGGAGTATACTAACATGTTTTTTTAATTTATTCTGTAATCTCTTTTATTTATCAGGGAATGGTTCCTGAATTGTTCCTATTTCTTGCAATAGGTCTTGTTTAGATTCAAAGTATTCCTTGTACCACATAATATGATTGATTTTTTCTTGAACTGTCAAGTATGGATTCTTGGAAAGTCCAACACACACTAATTCCATAAAGTGACGTATTGGTCCTGATTTAGGGCACCATCCTTTTAAATGGCGTTCCATAAAGACATGTTCTGAGAAATGAACATTCTGTTCTTCCATTCCTGAAATATATAGAAATGGTTAAATCAAGTTTCTCCCAAGTGTCAGAAGGTACACATAACATGTAACATATTGCATAGAAACCTTGCTCATTGTCAATCGGGAATTTCCATAATTTTCCTTGCTCCGTCCAAAGAATTTGTTCTTGGAAAATATTAGCAGGTGGATAAGTCGTTATTGCTTTTAGCTCCCTTTGTTCTAATGCCATCCATGTTTTCAATTTTGGTATGTTTGGCGAAGTAACACCCATATTTTCAAAAATATGGCTAGGCTGTCCATCCCATAGATTAATATCTTGACGTCTATCATTAATAACCAATTAAAAATTAAATAAATCAGGATAATATAATTGAATATTATAATGAATATGATTTAATTTCTATTATCTAATAATAATAATTTATTTTTCTACAATACCTGGTACGTTTTTTATTATCAAGATTTTGTAATTGTTTTTTAGATTCATTTTTAGCGCTTTTTAATAACTGTCTTGATATACTATCTTGATATACTGTCTTGGTATTTTCAACTACTTTCTTTGGTTGTTTATTATATTCATTCAGTAGAGTTTGTATTATAGATTTTTTTTCTGAATGTTTATCCTGGGAGCTTTTTTCTATATTATGTTCGGATTGCGTTTGTTTGAGTTGAACATTCTTCTGCATATTTCTGTCAAATAAAGAAAATTGTATAAAAAATGAAAAAAACTTACCAAGTGATTAAAGAAAAATATATCATAATATTTAATAATAGAACTTATAGTAAGTGTTACATGTAACAATCCATACTTGTTTATTTGTTCTTCTTTCGAAGCTTCTATTCTAGATACAAGAACTTTTACTTTTAGAAGCAAGTCTGATGTAGTCTTTGTTTTATCTCCACCAAATGTATCAGCCACATTTTCTGCTGCAGTTATTATTTTCTCTTCTACAAAAAAAATAATAATGCAACTTGAGTATTGAAATATTCTTGAATTTATATAAATCTTAAAATGTTGCCAATATTACCAAAAGATATAGGTTTGTTCAGCTTATTTTTTGATTTCTTTTTAGGTTGCATAGCAACATCAATAGTTTTCTGCAATTTTTCTCGCCTAAGAGCAACAGATATTTTTATTAAGGTACACTAGCTTATGCTTTCCCTCAAAAATATCTCATACCATTTTTAAATATATCAATATATTACTTCAAAACATAGTATGATTTAGCATAAATTATTTAACTATTCAATTTATTCAGCAACTTGTTTTTGTTAATCTTATAATTTTCTGTTTCTAAACGTGATATTTTTAAAAAAATGTTATAATAAGACATAATTGAAAAAAATATATTTTTATTATTTTATTAAAGTAAAAATTTTCAATATCTTTGCAAATATCTAAAATATAAAAGGCAAATATTTAAAAATATAATAAAAATAAGAGAGGTTTCAGATGAAATAATAAATCCTGAAAGTAGATAAAAAAATCATCATATTTACTTGCATCATGTTATTCAAGTAGCTTTCCAAATCATATTTGTTATCTGACGTTGCAGGGCTTGCACTTTTAACAGGTGTCGTTTCCGATTTTGTTTTTTCAGTATCAGAATCAGAGTCAGATGAATCTGATGAATCTGATGAATCTGATGATGAAGATACTGAAGACGAGGAACTTAATCTCAAGGAAATATTTATCCATTGAGATAATATTCCGTTTGATGGCCTTATATTATATCTGCAAAATATATTTCTTAGTATAGTCCATCCAGAATAAAAAACAATTCCCTATCTTTTAAATAGAAATATAATTTTTTTATAATTTCTCTAGTTAATCTATGTATAAAAATATTAAAGTAAAATTATCAAAAAGTCAATAGTTTGTACTTACTTTGATAATATGTACAAAAACATATTTACATATAAATATTCTATAAATCGATTATATCTCACTGAGATATGAACATATGATCGTCTAGGAACAGATAACTGTAATCAAATTTTATAAAAAAAAAATTAATGACAACCACGTTAACAATGGCAATAATATCACACTATGCAATATGTATTCGCAAATTATTGACAAAGTTACACAATAAACAACAAAATTATAAATAAAAGAACCTAACCTAATTCCAAAACTTCTAAGGCTCTGTTCTAAAACTTTACTTCACAGATAGAAAAGTATTTACTTGATTAATCCAGAACAAAAAAGTTAAGATATTTTTGAAGAATCAAAACTTTAATAATATCAGTGATGTTCAGAAGAATTTGCGAAGATTTCTCTCATAAGAAATAATAAACCACGGAAATCTGTGATTTCCGAGACCGCGGTATCGATACATCGAATATTCTGATTCAAAACGGAGTATCGAGATATATCGCATCGCGGTGCAACGCAATAACCAGCAGTAATATCAGCAACCAATTGCAGCGACAAATGAAAGCGTGACGTGATCCGTAGCGCGCGTCGTGCGTCGTCCTGCCACAAACGCAACGTCTCGGGGGGGAAGGGGGAAAACGGATCGGGGCAGATGATGTCGCCGTGCGAGGAAATCGTGGGTAGCTGCCTGTGAGAAGCGCCGATACCGCCAATCGCGGCCTCGGTGGCGGTCGCTATAGCAGTATCATCATCGTTATCGCCGTCGTCTTCGTTGTCGTCGTCCCGCGCGCGAATTGACGCGGGGGAAAAGGATGGAGACGGACTATCAGTCGACGCTGAGTCCGTCGCGGACATTGACAGGTGAGCTTTCCCGTCAACAGACACTTGGTGATTTGCAGTCCGCGCGAGTTTGCTGGCCTCGAGAACGCATGAAATCCGGATCCGCGTCCGCGCCCTTTCCGTTCGTTGATTCGCCGCCAAAGCGGAGCTGATTTGTTAAGCTCGACCCGGGTCATCGGCACGCGGTGACACGAATTCGATGGAAAGCAGAAGCGAGACAGTAATTGACTCGTATCGAGTAAATAGAAAGCGCTTCGTTATCGATCGATACGATCACGATCATCTCTGCGATTATCTGCGGATTGTATCGAATGATGCTGAACGACAAAACTTTCAACGAATTTGATCATCTGCACATAGCAAAATAGTTGATCGATCATATTCGCGAATAAGCCCTTTTTTTTATAGATATATCAGATATTCGTCATTTTAATTCTTGTTTATTTATTGTCAATTGATTTGCATTCATGTTTAGCAGGGATAGGCAATGATTGCGAAGATCCATACCCCAGTCTATCGGATTATCACGATTACGAACCGAATTTGGAATTTGATGATACAGAATTGCAAACTACTTCAAACAATGGTAAAAATATCTACCTAAAAAATATCTTGATATTCCTTTGTTCTTTACAATTAAAAATTAATACTATAAATTTGTTTATTTTTAAAGGAAAAAAATATTTCCTTTTATCATATGAATGATTAATTTGTATAAGACAGTGGCTATTGTAATTATTTGGATAAAGTGGATTTTATCATTACAGTGTCACGGCTTTTGGATGAAAAATTGGATTTGGTGAGCAGCAGCGTAGGTGCCGGAATGGATTATTTAGAGAGTCCAGTGAGTGACGGCACAATCGAGGAGAACTTTGAGGAAGCTTTAGTAGATGCTCCAGTTATCGAATCTGGTGTGTGACCTTTTACCTTCTGTTAGTAGCCACTAAATGTCATGGCATTCTCGGGGCATAGCAGGTGAATTATGTGTAGAACATTGTATAGCTTGTTTTACATTGCATGACGTAAGGAAATGAATGAAGGAATGAAAGAGGAAAACGAATGTGATATTTGTTTTGCTTTTCTTTTTAATCCGTTTTGCGACAATAACATTTATATACAATCCAAGTTTTTGAAGTGAGTAAATCTTTTTTACACATAACATTATATGCGGAGTATATTTTTTTGTGAAATAGGATTGCTCCGAGAACTCGAATCGTTCTTGCTAGATAGAGTTTTTAATTGAAATAAGTTTGTTGCAAGAATAGCGCCTGAAATGCTCAATCCTGAATCAATAACAAATGTCTGTTTTTATGAATAGCGGACGATCTGGCTGCTTTAGATGCAGAACTCGCCGATGAGGAGGATTATCTCGACATATCCAGACACGGTATTGTAGAGGTGGTCGGTGATGATAGTGCCGGTCGCAAAATAATTGTTGTGTCAGCTTGCAAATTGCCTCCCGTTGGAAAAGAGACTTTTAATCATGCTAAACTCCTCAGGTGAGTTTGCAGTATCCAAGTTATAAGATGACATACAAGACATTTATTCAACGTCAAACAATGACTTACAATTGTTTGTGAATTATTTAAAGATTGCGAGTCATTCTATATTGTTTTTAACAGTACTTGCCAAGTCTATCTTTTTAATACTCAGTTTTTATTTTTCTTTTTTATCAATGAAATAAATTTTTTACTAGAATTATTTTCCAATATAATATTTCAGGTATCTCACACATACTTTGGATACGTTTGTGGAACAAGATTATAGTCTCGTTTATTTTCATTATGGCCTTACATCGAAAAATAAGCCACCTTTGTCGTGGTTATGGCAAGCATACAAAGCGTTTGATAGAAAATATAAGAAGAATCTTAAAGCCCTTTATCTAGTACATCCGACTAATTTCATTAGGATTGTATGGCAAATATTTAAACCGGCTATCAGGTATATAATTCTTATTAGACAAAGAACTCGTTTTCTTTTCTGCTTAACGTATATCAAATGAATATATGTATGTTAAATATAAATTTTTGCAGTGTAAAATTTGGACGGAAAATGATGTATGTTAATTATTTGGAAGAATTGGCGCAATATATTAATTTGGATCAATTAATTATACCTCCTCAAGTGATAGAGTATGTGATTTATCTCAGATCAGTATCTCAGATTTTCAGAGAAATCTTATTAAATTATGAATACAAATCACTTGGAAAGTTTCTTTCAGACACAATGAACAGCTGCTAATGAAAAATAAGAAAAATTTGCCGGCGAGTCCACCGCAAAGCGCAGTAGTTACACCAGTCGGCACGACTCAGTTTGGTGCTAGTCTGCAATTTTTAAAAGAAAATAATAACGGAGATCCAATACCACCGATTCTACGGCAATGTGTCGAATTTCTTGATACACCGGACGGTACGGTATTTAAATAAAAATAAGATCAATTCTTGAAGCTGAAATTAACAATTATATTTTTTCATTGTTTTAGCTTTAGAAACAGAAGGAATATTCAGAAGATCGGCTAATGTGGCGGTGATTAAAGAACTTCAGAATCGTTGTAATCAAGGTTTACCTATCGATTTTCAAGGGGATCCGCATATTGCTGCGGTTCTACTTAAGACCTTTCTTCGTGAGCTAGATGAACCTCTTATGACTTATGAATTGTATGATGAAATCACGCAATTTCAAAGTGAGCATTACGTTTTCTCTCTTTCCTATTTTCTGCGAATTGCAACGATATAAGATATTTTTTTAAATTTTTATCGTAGCACTATCGAAAGACGAACGTCCACGTAAAGTCAAGATTTTAATATTGGAGAAACTTCCCGAAGACAACTATCAAGTTCTTAAATACATCGTACAATTCTTATCTAGGGTACGTAGTTAACGTTTATAATTTCGATTTTCATAGTAGAAATTTATTTGCAATTGAACGTTCATATTTTTTTTTTTTTTTATAGGTAATGGACCGATGCGACCTGAATAAGATGACTTCTAGTAATCTAGCGGTTGTATTCGGACCGAATCTCGTTAGAGCACCGCCAGCGCGTGGAATGTCCCTTTCCGCAATAGGACCCATTAACCAATTTATAGACTTTTTATTCACTTATCAAGATAAGATATTTATTATTTAAAAGCGACAGCACCGAAGGCCTAATCGTAACATTCAATTATCGACTTTACCACACGTCCGCATTTTCATTTATCGAAAATATTTTTATATTCTACGTGATAGAAAAAGAGAAAAGGATAGAAAAAAACACTCAATTGTTTGTTTATATGCGATTTGCACAAGATTTTTTAATACGAATAGGTATAATAATTTTCGGACGAAGAAACGAACGTTCGAATTGATGTCGGCTGTGCGATATTGGAACGCCAGCTCCAAGAAATATATTGTCCGTATATTTAGAGAAAAATTACGACCAAATACCAAAGATACACGAAAACGTCACGCAATGAGTATAATATATAAGATCATCTAGTAGTAATATTTATCTATTAATGCGTAGAAAATAATATATTTGAAGATGAAGATCGAGTGGGATGCCTCTGTTGTCGCGAGATCCCATAAACCGTGATTTGTTCCAATTTTTGTTCAATCTCTTAATATTTAAAAAAATTTTTAAACAACGAATTAAATTTCTTTTAGTAAGTTATATAAATTATTTTTCCAGTGTACTGTAATTTTTATGAGATTAATTATTTTTATTTTGTATTTATCTTTTTTATTGATTAAAAATTTTCAATCAAATGATTGTTATCGAGTTATAAATTTTGTTTCGATAAATCCACATTTGTACAGTATGTATAGTATATTTATGTCATATAATGGTTATTTTTTTGTTATTTATTTTCATTGTAAAATCGAAATTACCAAAATTATTTCAATTACGTTGCACATTAAAAACATGTTAATTAAATATTTAGTGGAACAAAATTTTCATAGAACGTTTTGTATAATCAAAATTTAAAATAATAAAAGCACAAGTAACAAATCTTTTTAATACACGGCATCCCTTGCATCTCTAGCAGGGTTTGTATATAATGGAAGAGTGGTTAATTCATTAATAATTGTGGTCTAACGAATATAGTATATGTGATACTGTATTTAAGTAAATTTGAAAAAAGACGCGAGATATATGTAACAAGGAAGATTTATATATGTAATATAAAGAGACACTATATGTTAACTCTAGATAATATAAAAACATTCATCCGTTTTATATAAGTAAACAAAACATTAATCGTTGGAACAAAAGTCGAATTTTGTATTTTTTAATTTAACCAAATTTAGCTTTTGTGACATTCTCTTTTTCTCTCTCTTTCTCTCCCTTTCTGTTTAGTTACGTACAATAACGACCAAAATAAATTTATAAGCAATTTATATACATGAACATAACTAATATTATTATTTAATAAATTATATGTTAGCGCAATAAATGATTAATATAGTTATCACGATAATTCAGTATATTTCATATGTACATTTTAATAACATTACGATATTTACAATATTACGATATTTTGTTTAAATATGATCTTGGAAAGAAAAAATTATCTACCTGTTAATTTGATTCTTAATGTCATAACAAGAACTAAGAAAATATGAGGAAAAGAAAGAGAGAATATGAAAAAAGGGAGGGATTTGACATTAATGAATGTCAAGTATTGTATAGTCTTACAATTTAGTGAGTTTGTCTGTCGTCTATTTATAAAAATAAGAGACTTAGCAATTTGTCGCGGAGCAAACCGCAGATTTATATATCCCCTTAAATAGTCCTGCCATTATAGGTAACTGGGATGATGAAGTATAGGCTTGGCAGCCTAAATCCGCTCTCTATCATCGAAAAGACTAACCCAGACCTGTATAGAACTGATGTGACTTGACTACATTCCTTGTTGTCAATAAATCATGTAATAAAGCGTGTTAATTTCTAGGTCTTTAGTTTCACTTTTGTATATAATTTATAAGCAAAACTTAACTCTCACGATATGATGGGATCGAGGTGTTAATGTCATAAATAAAACGTTTCTCTATAACGTTATTATACAAGTTACCAATTTTTATGTTCATAAAATAACTTACAGTAACAATAATTTAAACAACAATTCTCTCTTGTATCGCTAATTTATATAATTTCAGATGAATAAACATATTGCGTGTTACTTAATATACGATCCAAATCAATATATTGTACAATAAAATTATCGCGGTACTTAATATGTACAATAACCTAAACCTAAACTATCATTTTGGATAAAAGCCGAAAGTTCCTTTGTTCTTGAAAAATGCCCTCGTCTCACGATAAGACCGAACGATGGCCGTCTAACAATTAGCCAATTCTTAATCAGCTTATGGCAATTTTCGGGTAGAGTAAAAACGTAAAGTAAAAAGGCAGCTATATCGAAAATTGTAAGATGATGAAAAAATGAGTCACAGGACTTCTTTTTACTCTCGTTCTTGCCAAAAAATTTTTATGATTATATTTTATTGATTATTGAATTTTTACGATTATATTTTATTGATTATTGAAATTGAGGCACTCGCTGTTTCAAACAAGCTCTCTTCCTTCAACATTTTGACGCGCGAATCAAATAATTAGAGAATATTCTACTTGTGCTATCATAGACAAAAAAGTAATTATTTAGAATGATGGTGATTCAGATGCAAATCAAATTTTAGAGAATTTAAAAATCAAAAAGAAAAAGTGATTTATCTCACAACTGCTTTGAACGAGGAATTAAAACCCAAGAAAATCAAAATGACGATTAAACGACATATAAAGCAATATTAGACGGGTATTATGAGACCAAAGGTTCAAATACAAACAGATAAATACAAACTCATTGAAGAAAGAAAGAAACGAGGCTTATTTTACGATGTTTGTGAATGAATGAAAGGCCGCAGCTACATGACGTATACATATTTAAAGTCATCGAAAATATTAACAACTCTTTTTTCTTGAACAAAATTACATATAGAACCTGTACTTCGAAAAATTTTTTTCATTGGACACAAAGTTACGATAGCTACTTAACTTTGCTATCCAAAAATTGCCGTAGCTAAAAATGTATATATAGGCATACACATGCGCATTCATACATACATAACGCACACGTCTGCACACATAAGTACCAGACGAAGCATCTGTAATATAACAAATTTGTAAATACTAACTTGTCACATTTTTGAGACGCGTCATCTCGTACATAATTTGTGGGTTATCGAAATTAGACCTTCTTGTACTTAGGATCGAACGAATAAATTGATTTTAAAGGTCTATGAAAAGTCGCCACCGCCACTACTGCCACCACCACTGCCACCTCCACAACAGGAACTTCTACTCGGTTGAGTTTGTTCCGCCTCGTCCTCGACCATTACTACGTTGCGACGTGTACTATTGGTCCTCGTAAGTGTAGATCTCTGCTCAGCCTCATCCGCGCGTTGCATCATGCGCTGCGTCAGATCCAAGAACATTTCCTCGATGTTTTGGTTCAACTTGGCCGATGTATGAAAATGCATAGCTCCTACTTGTTTAGCATATCTGATGGAAGAAAATTTATTTGTGGTTACATACTATATTATTTGTAATTCCCTGTGAAGAAAAATTCGTCGAACTTACTCCTCTGCTTCTTCTATGGCAACATTTCTATCCTTCTCCAGATCTACTTTATTACCTGCTATTACTAAGCAAATTTCACTACCTAACATCTTCTTAAGCTCCTTTACCCAATTCTTCACCTGGCAAAATCCATAAAACTTTCTTTTAAAACCAAGTTTATAGTTCTAGATGCAGAATATTGTCTTATGCAATAAGCCGTACCTTTTGGAAAGTATCCTCATCTGTAATATCGTAAACAAGAATGGCACCATTGGACATTCTGTAATAAATCGGTCCTAGCGCATGAAACTTCTCTTGCCCGGCAGTGTCCCATATCGCCAAGTTCACTCTTTTTCCGTTGATATTTAACTTCTTATTTAAGAAAGACGCCTAAAATATGAAGCAAATCATCAGGTCCGTTTTACAGAGGACAAAAACTTCCATCATTTCATTGAAAAATAAAGGTGGACGCCACAAAGAGGTTAAGAAAATTTCCTTAGCAGCTACGCAGCAAATGTTATGCCTTAATCTTAATATTATATATATATATATATATATATATATATATATATATAATTAACTTT